AATGGCGATCTCTTAAATCTCGAAGCACTTCATCACTTATTCGAACTCGAAAGAACGCAAATCCTACAATCATTCGCACTGGCCGTATTTAAAATCTTTTATAAAGGATAATTCCTCTCAGGAAACCGCTCTATTTTATATTACGAAGGAAATATTCTTTGGTACTGAACCTGTTCGAAAAAAGTCTCACCATTAAATTTTTTGCAGATAAACGCTGCAGTCAAATAATACCAATTTTCTGCAAAAACAAACTCAATTTTTAGACAAACTTTACGACGTACATATTTTTGGAGAACGAAGCCCCAAGTGGATCAGAAAGTAGCCACCACGTAGTACAACTAAATCCCAAAACAGATAATTATTATCTGTTCACACGATACTCTGAAATAATGCAACTACTGAAAAATTTTTCACCAAAAAGGGTCCGCACAGCAGCCAGAAACCTAAACATTGACCTACAACCAAGAAGTTTTCTCAAAATTTGATATACAACATCACATTAGAACACAACAATTTAAAGAGCTTCTCACCAAAAAGGATACAATCCAATGACAATCTATAGATCAAAACAGAGGAAAACTTGCCGAAATAGCAGGCTGCTCAGATATTAAAACACCAGATTGGAGTGGATATTTTAAAAATTTTAAAGATTATATCTACCTCGACGGAGAAAAATATCGAGCTGAACATATATTTCCAGTGCAAATACTGAAGTTATACACATCAAAAATGATTTATTAGACTTACTAGGATGGCCCTTTTATATTCTAGAACGGTTAACAATTTCAGAACTTTTTTATTTTCCTTTCTTAAAGGATTTTTTAAAACATGTGCGAAACATTAACAAGTTAACAGACAAGCAAGCGTAGCCTGAATAGTATTTGCGGGATTTTTTTTGAATATAATAAAAAATATATTACTTGATGCACAACAGTGAACTAAAAAAAAACAATACAGATGATGGCCCACAAAATATTACACGCTTGCCAACAGCTCCTCTAAACTCACAATCAAACCAAAATCAATTACAAATAGTTCCACCCACCAAATACGGAACCAACTTTTCTCTAAGATCAATTTTTCATCAAAACAATCAAACACAACCAAGTTCAATTTCTTATCAAGCAAAAAAAAAATTAAGAAAATGAACTAATAACAGAACAACCAAGTGCAATTAATTTTTGTTCTCACAACGAAAATAACTTCAGGCCACAACGAGCTGCCAAATCGGATCCCTCAAACAATTTTTTTTCTAGCCTTCAGAGCTGCAACACCAATTCTCTGTCACATCTGTCATTGACCTCATCACTCCCTTACCGTTATTAAGTTTCACTTTTTCCACCTTTTCTTCAGACTCATCCCACAAGCAATCTGATGATTCCCCACAAACTGCTTTTAAAACTCGCAATTGTTAAGAAAACCCCATCGTCGACACTCCAGACAATTTTTTAGATTCCGCCGAACTCATCCTATTTCTGATTTTTCTCAACCAACATTTACCCCATCACTCCCCCAGTTTCAGTAATCCCCTCTCATCTAAATCATCATACGCAGACGCTACACCCATACTCTCACCACTTTCTTGTGCTATTTACGACACCCCTAGCCCAATAACTGACGATCAATGTAAACACGACTTAAATAACTTCATACAACAACAACCGCTAATGCACAACTGTAAAATTCCACTCACAATACAACATTTCACCTACTCCACTTCATCTTTTGAAACATCTTCCGTTTGTAACACTCCAACATGAGTACAGCGCATATTTATGAAACCGAAGTACTCAACTAATTCTCCCAGATACCTAGTAAATCGCCCTTCCACATACCGACTTCATTGAAGCGACCATACCAGATACACTAACACACATGAATACCTACCAGATTTCATTCCATTTTCCCTACAAAGTTATCTCGACAACAAAGAGCCCCATACGAAAATGCCTTTGTTAGAGTTCCGAACACTCCTTTTTTGCCTTTATAAATTCAATAATCCACTTAGCCTGCTACTTAGAAAATCCGATGATGACCAACATTATAACACAGCTATTCACCAGCATACTAGTGCAATTCACTTAAAAAATTTATTTGTCACAGATTGGCTTGTCATAGATAACTAAACCCCTTGATTGTAGCGCAAATACAATCCGTTGTTCCCCGATATATAAAAGATTCACCACAAAACACCAAAACTCAAAACTAACAGGAAAACTTTTTTATGAACATATCATATTTTCGATTTACTTTGAACTAACAAAAGAAATAACAAAAAACTCAATCATCGATCACGCACGTAAACTTCACAAAACCAAGGAATAAAATTTCAGCCGCTTTGACACGTTTCAACAAACATCTATTTTGGTCACTTCGTCATAACTAATCACATGAATTGATGCTAAAAAGAAAACTAACCCTCATTCATTTCACAATCGCTTCATTCAAAGGCACTTTATTCACATTTCACCTTCACTTAACCCACACCACCACTACATGTTTCTAAATTCAAAGTACACTACAACTTTTTTTGAAGTTCACTTTTCGTATAAAAGGCACAAGCCTGCACGATACTCTCCAAAACTACGATCCCGTCCGACAAATGTATATATTTTGTTCACGCACTAAATCATCCCACGGAAGAAACATTCCCCATGATCATCCCACTCGAATACTTGTCGAATTTGAAATCGTAGATTTAAACCTTGCTTCAAATTTTACCGTAAATTTTATAATTTGATTCCAAACACTAACCACTATTTTCATGTCCCTCCAGAAGAAATCAAGATCATCAAGGCACTTTAGCTTCTTCGGCCATTACTACACACAATAATTAGAATTAGCATGTCGGCAAAGCTTTTAAAGCAATCAACAACCACACCATTGATAATCTTTTTCTAAATAGAGTTTATACCGGCCCCGATTTCATGTAAAATTGCATTTGTTATTTAAAACTAACTAATTTCAACAATTTACTTGCCGTTTTATAATAAGGTAGATCACCTCTTGCTTAAGACTTTCTGAATAACTTCTAAAAATATTAAACAAAAGATCAAAAATAAAAGTTTATAACTTATTTCAATATCCGATTGCAGTAAATTCTAAAGGTTAAATAAAATTTATAACTGAGAAGTGATTAAGGAATTCAAATGCAGTCATATAAGGCAAAAAGCTAATGAGCGAGTAATAAAGTAAAGATAAAATCTCTCGAGCTCGCCCCTTGAAATTAACCCTTTTCATGTAAACTGTTCAATTTCTTGTAACTTTTTCATGACAAATATTGTGAATAATTGAATTTCCGGTTTCACAAAGTAACTGAGAAAGTTTTCAAGCAAGTATAAGCGTTTCAAATTTTCAGGTAAACCATTTGAAGTGAGGAACTAAGCTTAAACAACCAAAGCAGCTCACTTAGACCATCCGACTACCAACGTGCACAGGAAATTCCCCTAAACTCAAACCAGATCAAACTGCATATTTTTTTCTTTGAAGGAAAAGTCAGCTTTCTTTTTAGACCACATGAAACGATAAAAAAAATTAGTCAATACTAATCAAGTACAACTTGTTTTTAAGAAAAAGACACAACCACAAAAAAAACAGATAAAACATCTGATACAACGAAAAGAAAAGGTTATAAAAAGAAAAAAAATTTACTCAAAGAAATACTTCAAGTAAACTCAACTATCCTAAACCACTAGTGAAGGACATCCTCAGCTAACCGCGCTAAATCACGCATAGAACCACGCAGTCAATTTTCCTTAGAGCGACTCTAGGTTGAGCAAATGATCAAAGAAAATTAACCGAGCTAACTAAAAGGCTATTGAGAAAAAAACTAATAAGATCGTAACTAAAATTGAATTTCTAAAGAGCAGAGATAAAATGGTAACGCTTTTACAGAGTGTAATACACCAGCAACAGAAGGGAGATGAACGCTTGACAATATTCCAACTAAGGAATAGCAAATCTATTATTTTTGCTTGCCGCGGTCACAACCCTCACTGGATCTAAAGTAATGAGCAAACAACGCAGCAAAAGAATCCATTGAAACCGAACAATGGCCATTTCGAACATACCAATCCTTGTCACTCGGCGCTTCACTCAGAGAAATCAACCTTTTATTTTGCTACTCGACCGAGTGTGAACGAATAGTGAGATTGCACGAAGTCTCGATCTGACTTAGAAAAATGACAACCTACGAGGCACAGACTCGCACTTCAATACATTTTGTCAGTATTCACTACAATCTTTCAAACTCATCACATGTACTTCACAGGCACAAGCCAATCTACACTCCCTACAAATAAATTAGAAGACACTACATTTAACCTTCACAAAAAAATTTTGTATTAAGAATTTTCCTAAGCCCTGGATTGGTGGAACCAGTTTAAAAGAAGTATTTATTTTATACTTTGATTATTCTCACTTCAAAATATCAATAACTTCCCAATCTTGATCCATGAATTTAAACTACAAAAAATTTTTAAAGCTGAAACTATTTTCAGTATCAGTCAGAGAATAATTTTAAAAAGAATGAAATCATTTGCTTTCTTCTCTCCTCTAACTCCGCAGAAAATTTGTAATTCTCTAGATCATCTGTTTTGACTAAGAAATTTAAGATATAAGCGTAAGATTAAGATTAGTATTAGACTAAGAAGTTGTATGAACATATCCGGCCGAAATGAGATAGCGTACAGAACAGACAGTGTACCCATATCCGAAACTACTCTATGAGAAGGCCACCCCGGACTCAATCTCAGTATTGACATGAGTAGCCAGAGAAAGCGTTTACATACCCGCGAAGTTTTTCGTACCGAAAAATGAGTTAAACTTCATATCTCATCCTAAGCAAAGTAATATTGCTGTTGAGGTTGAGAAATTATGTCGGTACATCAATAAAAAAAACTTCAAACTGATTAACTCAAGATCATAATCAGCAAAAATGATTTCCTAATTTTAATAATAAGCGCGTCAGAAAAACCAAACGAAATAACCATAATTCTTACCTGTTCATTGCATAATGAAACGCCCCCGGTTCCTGTTTCATATAATCGATCGTTCCTAACGACTTTCGAAGTCCAATTACTTTTAAGGGTTGTCGAAAACGTCCATGGAAAACTCCCATTCGATACGAGTAACCCCTATCGTTTTGCAATCTGTTCGACTGATCTCTTGAAGTTTCGCATATCATTTTTGTAGCCTCAACCATTTCAAGATTCGGATTTTTCAATTTGTCGAATAGTAGAAGCTCGTTTGCGATGAGTGCATGTTGATGAGCGTCAATTATCTTTCCTACATGGATCAAGTTAACATACATCCCCCTAACTAGAACAAGTTAAGATTTCTTTCACAACAACATTTATTTTCTTATAAAACGGCTCAGCATTACGTGTAAAATGCTCGATTCTGATTGGCTGAAAAATCCAGCGTTGAACCAAGTTAACATCTTCCTCCTAAATCGATCTAAGGGGGATGATGTTAACTTGTCCCTCATCCTACACTTTTCCATTCTAGAGAATTGCTCGCTGAATGAATCACTTTAAAGTAAAAAAAGCAGTTAAACAATTTGACCCGAAATTTTGGTTGAAATATGTTCTAATTAGTTTCTCCATGCGAGAGGAAGCCGTACGTTCAATACGAGAGAGCTAATGAACAAGATTATTGAAAAGTGTTTTCTCAAAGACCCAAAAATGGGAACTGATCAATGGCTCCAAAACTTGTCAAATAACAAAACTTGTTGTTTTTTCTTGGGCTCATCTTTTGTTTTGGTTTTTAAGGGCAAGTCTAGAATTGATAATTTCCTCCCATTTTGATTTTCTTGTTAACTGAGACGCGACTACTGTGGCTGAACCTACTTTTCTTATTCCTAATGGAATTTCTCACAGCTTATTTTTGCAACGAGAGACGTTTTTTTTTCAACGTAGGGCTACATTTCATTTTTTTATCGGATAAATTGTGGATTCTGCGATTCGCAGAGGATCTATGAAAGGCTATCCAGCCTGTCTAAGCATAGGCCTGTCTAAGCATAGTCCGAGCATTCGAAGTCAAAAGATCGTTTCCGTTAGAGCATCTTTAAGATTAACGGGACCTCCCCGTCAAGTATAAGCGATCTCCCGTGCGATCAAGGGCAAGCCGTCACCGGCGACAATTAAGCCCCATTCCTAGGGGTAGGTCAAACTTTCACTACAAGAACTGTCTTAGAGGTCCCCTCAGCTGTTCAGGATTGTCTCTGATGTCCGATCAAGGATAAGCCATCGCTAGTGCTATATCAGCCCTACCTTCCTTCTGGCGGCGAATCGAAGTACCATTTCAAAGACAAACCTTTTGCACAAACCCCATTGCTTCAAATGCTATACTGGGAGATTCCTGACCTCGGTCATCTCTTCAGCAAATCGGTGAATATAACGACAAATTGTTTACCAATAGATTTCAACCAAGCATTGTAAGCACGGTTGAAGCTGACATCCGTTTAAAGAAAGCTAATCACAATATTCTCACAAGCATTTACAGTTTAAAAGACTTCAAACGGCTAGATACAAGCCTCTCTACTTTCAACGACAAACCACTGTATTGGAGTCATCGGTTTGAGTTTGTCCACTCAGCAAAAGGGATCAACCCAAGATTAACAACTGTGTTGGGAAAGCTAACAACCATGTAGAAATCAGAAAATTAGATAATACAAAATCTGTGGTACTAGCAGGTTGCACTAGTAAACTATACAATTTGGAAAGTTTTAGGGACCGTGATCCTCGAGTTATTATCAAGCATGCTGCAAACTTATCAAAGTTAGTACGCATCTTTGGGATCAACGAATACATTTCAGATTTTAACTACAGTTACTTTCCGAGACTACCATCTGAAGTATAGATGAAATGGGAAGAATTCTGTAAACTCCACTGTCTTGAAAGCGCATGTTGCAAAAAACAACGGATTGGTTAAACAACAACTCAATGGCGTGGTAGCCCTGGAGCATGTGTCGTAAGAAACAAAGTCAAAAATTTTTATCGAATAACTTACGTTCCAACGACCAAGATCATCAGTTACATGGAAAACAGTCCTGAATATAGCACAGAAAAGCAGTTTGACGACAAGTTTGTTAAAATGGAACATTTCAGCGCAACAGATTAGGAGCAGCACGAAATTTAGTGTTGTCCCTTTTGCTGAAATTGAATTAGTTCAAAGAATCAAGCAAGCAAAAGACAAAAAACTTCGTTTTAATCACCAAAGAATTCATCTTTTTACTGAATCAACTCAGATGTACCAAAAAGGCAGATCCAATCACCAAAGTATCCCAACATGTGAAACAGATCAACAGCCCCGATAACTATTTTTTCTTGCATTCTGCTCCTGTGGTTGAGGCTTGCTAACAAATCAAGATTCCACAAAAAAAACATCCATATTTGTATAAAGAAACTAACCAAATACGCTACAACATCGAACACAATTTTTGTTGTTTGCTACTCCTGATGGCATTGCACGGTAATTCTCAATTTATCCGAACCAAAAACAGATTTCTAGACCTCAATACTAATCGTACTCAATACTAATTAGCGAGCTTAATCCAAACTAATGCCCCTTCCCAAGAGTTTTCACGACTTGCGTGTTAAGGAAAAAAAACCGTAAACTCTTGTCGAAAATAATTAGGCTATGACTAAATGATCAGACTGATTAATTGATGGTTTTCAGTAAGCAAATGAAATCTTAAAACAAGGATAGCCTGCCCGCACCGAAGTTTCATGGATAGTAATCGATTATATTGGATTTTTGTTGACAGTCTCAATAAAATTACAAAACAAATCGATTATAATCGATTAAAAATCGATTACGTGGTCTAAATTTGACATGATAATCGATTATATTGAAAACATTTTATTCAACAAAAATCCATTATAATCGATTATTACCCATGAAACTTCGGTGCGGGTGTTACTGTGCAAGTAGCATAGAATGTTCAGACCATAGTCTTAGAAAATAAAACAAAGTTTTTTAAAATTGTTGTCGTTATTTTTCGGCGTGGTGTGATCAGAGTATTAAGTATATTCAAGAGTCATAGTAAAATAAGCAAATTGAAAAAAAATGTTGTAGAAAAATTACTGGAAAAATGAAAAAAAAATCATGCAGTTTTCTGAATTTTTGAAAATTTCGGTTGCAAAAGGCGCTTACCCGCACCGAAGTTTCATGGGTAAAAATCGATTATATTGGATTTTTGTTGACTAAAATGTTGTCTATATAATCGATTATCATGTCAAATTTAGACCACATAATCGATTTTTAATCGATTATAATCGATTATACTGGAAAAATTTAAATCCATTATAATCCATTATAATCGATTATATTCCATTTTTATTTTCAATATAATGGATTATTTTTTGTACATAAAATCCATGAAAATTGTTTAAATTTTGGAAATAATGACTCTAATTTTTGCAACTTTCTGCAAAACTCGAACGAACACGTTCATCCAGGGGCAGCCAATATGTAGTAATTTTCCAAAAAGTGCCCAAAAACAGCTTTTTTGACCAGCTCCGCATGTCAACCCCCCCCCCCCCCCCGCCCCAACGTACCCCCGCCCAACGTACCCCCTCTCCAGTGTACCCCCCCAACCAACTTATCGAAACACCCACCCCCCCCCCAACGTACCCCCCACCCACGACGTACCCCCCAACTCACGACGTACCCCCCAACCCACGACGTACCCCACAACCCACGACTTACCCCCCAACCGACGACGTACCCTCCTCACGTACCCTTATCCCCCCAACGTACCCCCCCCCCAAACGTACCCTCCTCACCTACCCCCCCCCCCCAACGTATCCCTAACCCACGACGTACTCCCACTCTCTCTCTAGTTAGGGGACATCTAATTGTAGTAAGGGTAAGCGTGGGGAGTTGGTGTGGGATCTATAGGTAACTTTTTGTAATTTTTCATATCTCGATTGAAAATAGGAAAAAATAAAATTAGGCGAGAGAACAAAATAACTAACTTAAGTTTAACAACTTTATGAAAAAATGAAAACAACACACAAAAAGATTTGAATAATTAGATTATAATCCATTATAATCGATTAAAATGGATTATTTTTCTTTTGATAAAATTTTTTGAAAATAATCGATTATAATCGATTATATTGGGATTTTATTGATTAAAAAAATATAATCAATATAATCCATTTTCAATCGATTATAATTGATTATTTTTGCAATTTTGTAGAGACTGACAATGAAAATCCAATATAATCGATTATTATCCATGAAACTTCAGTGCGGGTAAGTACTCAAAATAAACTAACGTTACTCATTTAAAATTAAGTAAGATTGCTTGCTCGCTTTATTCGCTCGAAATGAGTCAAAAAATTACAAAAGCTTCGAACCGGTTTATCTCGACACAACAAAACTTTTTTGAATTTTTTTTTGGCTGTTCCGAATCACGACTGAAAAAGCTTTAATATGATATATCACTCAACCCAGTCGGAAGAATATTTTTGAATTCTGAGTTTGCCCCAACGAAAAAAGATTCAATGAAAAACTTCAGTATGAAGGGTACTAGTATCTTCGGCGGCAATATAAACTTTTTCTTTTTTTGGATCTTTTGAGGTATAAGTTTTTCCATTTTGATTTTACAAATTTGACGTTGAATTTGCCCTCATTTTTCTTGAGTTGAGTTATTACGGCAGCCATAACTTCCTGACAAGCTTTGATTTTTATATGCATTCATCTTGAATTGCAGCATCAACTGCAGATTGTGTACAGCTGGCAATATGTTAATGTTATTTTTTAACGTTTAAAAAAATGAATTTAGAGCAGTTCTAGCTTGGCAAATACGAAACATTTTTTTGTGATTTCATTGTTTTCTATAAGGATAGCAATGTTTTCCAAATGGTAACACCCACCTGAGTTTGCCCCAACGATAAAAAGATTCAATGAAAAACTTCAGTATGAAGGGTACTAGTATCTTCGGCGGCAATATAAACTTTTTCTTTTTTTTGGATCTTTTGAGGTATAAGTTTTTCCATTTTGATTTTACAAATATGACGTTGAATTTGCCTTCATTTTTCTTGAGTTGAGTTATTACGGCAGCCATAACTTCCTGACAAGCTTTGATTTTTATATGCATTCATCTTGAATTGCAGCATCAACTGCAGATTGTGTACAGCTGGCAATATGTTAATGTTATTTTTTTAACGTTTAAAAAAATGAATTTAGAGCAATTCTAGCTTGGCAAATACGAAATAATTTTTTTGTGATTTCATTGTTTTCTATAAGGATAGCAATGTTTTCCAAATGGTAACACCCGCTCCTTACAGCTCACGTGTTTTTTTAGTGATAACGAGACAAGCAAGCTGGGTGAACTAATTGAAAAATTATCAAAACAGCTGAGGAACAGAAACAAACTCGTCGCGCCAGAAAAAGTTTGAAAACTCTACCAACTGTTATAAGAGCTGTATGCTAAACTGCACATCAACCAAATACCTCTGTCATGCTTTATCGTCTGTCAAGTCTAGTGGGAATTAGGGGAATGTATGATAGGAAAGAATTGTTCCCTGTTGCCGTTGAGCCACATCGGTTGAAGCCGAAGAAGAAGACAAACTTCTCAACGTGTTGGATGGTTTGTCCAGACCATTCTTTGCAGTCTGTGGTCGCAGTTGGTTCGAATTCGTCAAGTCGGCTCACATTATCGTCGATTATTTTCTTCATTTTACTGCTTTCCAGTTTGGGAAAATAGGGCGTTTCTATTTCCGGATAGATGGAATTATTTTCTTGAGGTTTTATCTGAGATTTTCGTGAAGTAACTTCATAGAGAAAAAGCATAACTAACAAGAAGAAAATAAATTTAAAAAATTTTTTTTCCGTCTTCCCGATCAACGTCATTTTAAACTTTATTAAACACACAGTGCTTTATTAAACATTTAAATTATCCGGACAAAACGCATAAAAATTGAAATTTAAACAAGTTTTCTCAAATTCGAACTAAAAGAGATGAGGGATAAATATAGCAGAATTATTATTATGCAATTGGTTTTGCACAATTTGGTCCCAAAACTTTACACCAAAAACGGTCATTTTAGACTTATAAGTCAATTAATAATTACACCAAAGATACGAAATCAATTATTGTCGAAAATATATCAAAGTGAGCCTCTTGCGTGGCTTAACAAAATTCAAGGAGGGCATACTCACCGAAACATAGCAAAAATTGCTTTATTTTTGTTTGATCGCCAAAATAGTAACTTTTACTATATAAAAACCAATATTTTTTCAAAAAAAACTTATTAAAAGTTTCGCGAACTTTTTGGAGACTATACTCTTCTTAAGATTTGTTAAGCCACATAAGAGACTTAGAGATTTGTCTACTAGCCACTAAGAGAGATTTGATAAAAATTTGATAGCAATTGGTTTCATAGTTTTGGTGTAATTTCTTGACTAAAAAAGTCAAAAATGATCTGTTTTGGGGTAAAGTTTGGGCACGAATTTCGTAAATTAAATTGCACCATATTAATTCTGCTATAATTCTAAGCAATCAGTGTATCTTTTTTTTGCTAAAGTCAACTCAATTTGAGAACAACGCGTTTTAAGTTTCAAATTTCATGCGCCTTGTCCGAATAATTCAAATCAGCACGGTATACTCGAACTAACAATTTAAAACAGTAATACAGATTCTGGATCAATTTTTAAACTTAAAACAAAGGTTTTGCTCTCAATATTGTCATTAAAATGTTAAAAGCAAAACCATAGCTTTTTTGTATGAGATTATTTTCATTTTGTGAGATCTGCGCATGAATGTATTTTTTGTACATGCACCTGACCATTTTCTTGTCCGTTGCATGTGTCTTTCACATATTAAAGAATATATAGTTCGTGAAACACTTCACTAAATGTGACAAGACTGCTCGTATGTTATGAAAAGCCCCGAATGTTCTGACTGTCCTCTACTGTCGATCACAATCTTTTCGCTTAAAAAATTCTTATAAAAATTTTTAAATTTTTTTTATTGGTGCAAGTTTCCAATAAAGTGACGGAATATTTTTTTTACTCGGGGTGGTTTTTTTCTTTAGGTAATTTTTGACCTGCAATATCCAACAGTACTCCATGCGCATTAGGAGGCAATTAGAGCATTCATGGTGTGGGGAGCGATCCATGGTTATTGAAAATCACAGAGGTGACGCACAGACCCCTAAATTGACTTTACATTAACTCTGATACCAGTTTAAAACGGACTGAATAGTACTTATTATTTCCAAAACCTAATCGAGACCAGTTAAAGGCAGTCGGAACCTTCGCCTTGTTACACGAGGAGTCTTGATGTTCCGACTTTGCAAAAAACTGCAGAATGCTTCAAGTTGTTATACATAACTCCGCCATACAAAAAAATTAGGGATTGCGCTTTTAGCGCTACAAAAGACTCGTGTTTTTTTTTGAATATTTCAGCCTCTTATCATCGGTAAAGGTACGATTAAAGTCAATTATTTCTACCACTCATATTCGGATCCGACTCTTCTAGGGAAGATCGGTTTTCGGTAGTTCAAGAAACATAGGTCGCAAAGTATCAATTTAGTAAGATTTTATCGTCAAAATAACAGCAAAATAAATTGATAATGAATGCAGAAAGTATCGGAAATTTCCTGAAAAATAATCAACCATTAACACAGACTAGAAATGACTATAAATCTTAAAACTCACACAAAACCATTTTTGTATCAATTTTTTTGCAGCAATAGTTGCGACCGCAAACACAAAAGTAAGCAGCCAAAAACCTGTTAGCAGTCAAAAAACAGTCAAAAACTTGTTAGAGGTCAGACAAGGTCGAAAGTGATTGGTTTTATGTTTTGTGGTTATACGAGCTTCCGTAGTTTTTTTTACACAATTACGTAAGTATTACGTAATTATTGCATAAATGTTACAAAATTACTATACAACTATTACGTAATAGTAGGAAATAAGGTAACCGAACCTTTTCCCTATTAACAACTAATTGGCCATATGCCCTCGGGGGCGGGGGGATTTGGAACTGGAATTGGACTTTAACTTAGACCACTAGGCCATGTGTTCTTATTTGGCTTTGGTTTTACTGCATTTATAGTTCCAGTTTACAATTGCTTTGCACACTTACATTTCAAGTGGAAACATCAATGGCCCTCCTGAAATGCCCATAAGACTTATGCCATTGTTTTGAATGGCCGCTACGCTGCGATAATTTCCATTCTGGTAATGGATCTCGACTGCCTACCTAAAGTGACTGCTTCGGTTAGTTCCTGCGCGGTAATGGGCAGTGATATAGCGTGCGATGGATGATGAACCGGTATGGGTTGCTGGTGGTGCAAAAAAGAGGCTGACTGAACGGTACAGGCAGAGTTAGTGCTGTGGCGTTATTTGACGTACCTGTAACATAAAAAAGTGCAGGGTAGATATTGTGAAGAAACTACGAAGGCTGATATTTATTCGTGCCTCCACTCGTGCGTACCAGAATGCGGTGCACAAAAGTGCAGGCCGACTGATGTTGTGGTAGGCAGGATCTTGTATGCTTGTGAGGAAGGCTACAAGTAATTGAAATGTATGTCTGAGTAGTATGGGACTCATGAGACTTACGAGAGCGGGTGACTGCGTTGGAGAAACAGGAATCAACAACAACAAATTAAGTCTGGAAGAGATATATTGACTAATTCGTTGTGGTTGTGAGGGGGGGGGGGGGGGGCAAGAGAGTGTACAAAGCCAGCGTCAGTGTTAACTGCGAGTGCATGTGAAAACATATCATCATGTTTTGCATTATCGACGCCACTCGATGGTGGCCTTAAAAGTTAATATTTTTGCATTCGTGTAGAAGTTCTGAATTTTGATCAGAAATCATATCAATGAACATTAATTACGTTTGTGTTGAATCTTTTCTGTTTTCTCGCACGTGTAAATTTCGTTTTTTATAGGAAATGAATTTATGCTGTGACAGAACTTGCTTGAACTTGTGGATCACAACTGGAGTATGTATGCTTGGAGAATGTTTCCATCAGGAAAACAAGTTTTTTGGCATTTGAGACAACTCCTTATTTATAGTTTTGGTTCATCTAGGAGTAGGCTTAAGAAATTGTTGCTCTCTCAAGAGGTGAGGAGATTCGCCTACAGATAATGAAGAGTTTGAGGTTCCAACCTCTAAAACCCTCTATTTTTTCTGTTGGTTCTCTTCTCTGTTCAGAGATTGCACGTCTTATGGGGTAAGTTTAAACGCTAATTAAGCCTCATTTGAAATTTCAAAAAATGCTTGTCTTACAATTTCCATATATGAAAAAATGTTTATCGTACAATTTCCATATATGAAAAAATGCTTATCTTACAATTTCCATATATGAAAAAATGTTTATCGTACAATTTCCATATATGAAAAAATGCTTGTCTTACAATTTCCATATTATATGATAAAATGCTTGTCTTACAATTTCGACATATGAAAAATGTTTATCGTACAATTTCCATATATGAAAAATGTTTATCCTACAATTTCCATATATGAAAAAATGTTATCCTACAATTTCAATATATGAAAAAATGCTTATCCTATAGTTTTTTTTTAACAATTTTCTGAGTCTATAAAACTGTAGGAAATTGTAGGATAAGCATTTTTTCATATATGGAAATTGTAAGATAAGCATTTTTGGTCAACCCGGGCCATGAAAAAGGGCTAGTGTATGGTATGATATGATACAGAAAGAATAGTTATGAATACTGAAATCACGATGATTAAATGCGGATGGACTAGGGGCAAATACACTCAGGTTATGGAAGCCGTTGAATTATGCGCTTTATACAAATTTATGGGCTCTGTGCAAAACTATGGGCTCTACTAAACTGACAAATCAATTGCGGCTTTTCATTTTAACTCGATGACGCAACGGTTGTATCTTGGCCTAATTCCCTAAACCAAGACTCTGTTCGTTCACCAGCCTTAGAGGCAGAATGAGCCGATCTGGCAGCTACTTCGTCGAGAACTGAGAGGTCTCTCGAAGCTCACATTCAGCGACCTAGAAACGATCTAGTTCTTTCAGCTCCAAATTCGACTTTTGTTCCTATGCACGAAGTGAGGCCTCAAGGTGGAGAATTGCCAATGCATGATCACAGCTGCTTGACTAGAAGAATTTACTCAATTGATTCTGAAACCTGTGAGGTACCATCGTCAATGGCGATGGTTTTGAGCTATCACAGTTTGATTTAGCTTTATCTATCTATTGACAAAATTTTCTATCAAAAACATGTGATTATCAATCATAACTTGATTTTAACTTTTGCTTTTGTCCGGTTGCTCCTGCTATTGATAAGCAGTTACTTTTCGGTGTAATTTTTGGCTTTAGCGGGCGTCACATCTATCAACCGCTCGCTGCACTCTATCTTCATAGTCCTTAAATCTTAAGTTTTGCCTACTCCTATCATTAAATAGTTTTCTAACCTTAGTTTGAAAATTTTCACTCAAATTAAAGACGCCAGGCGGTTTTACAACAAAAAACGGGGTGCCAAAGTTGAGGTGTTCGATATAAACGACAGAATATAACGAGAAAAAGCTCAAGTGGAGCTGAGCCGCAACGCAACAATCACAACTTCTAGGAGTAAATTTGAGGTTACGAAATCTTGACACAATCAACGTGATGAAAAAACTTCAATTTCAGAACAAAGGAAAGCCTACTTCTTTAAAACTCATTCGCACAAGCAAACATGACTTAAGGCTGACGGCATAATTCATATATAACTTGAACAATATAGGTACGTCATTAAGTAAGAATATTACCGCATAACAGAGATTTAAGAACCATTTTGAGCAAGAACCGACCGGTTATAACTTGTAGCTAAGTGCTGACGGATAATAGCGGAAGGGTTTCTGTAGCCAAATGTAAAGAACTAATGTTGAAGAGGTTACCATTGATCGTAAATCGTGCGGAAAGAGGCACAAGACTGCTCGAATCAGGGCGAAACCCTGAATGTTCCGACTGCCTTTTAAGGTTTTATGGAGCTATAATAACATTAAAAAATAAATGTAAGAAAAAATAATAGAAAATTTTTTTTCTAAAATTTGAAATTTTTTATGAAAATCATCCCCCACACCCCATATTAAGCACAAAAAGATAGATTTTGCTCCTTGTAACAAATCAATTATGGCAAATAAGCTGCTTTCAACCAATTTGGAACGATTTTTAAGACGGATTAACTCTCCGCTCACTCGTTAATAGCGCGAAATATATCGCGCGTTAATTGTCTCAAATTGGCCAAAACGGCAATTTTTAAACCCCCATAACTTTACGATAAATGATCACAGGTAAAATATATTTTCAAATTTGAGCTCAGGACAACAATACTTTTTGAATGATGTAAAAAAATTCCGTCAGAAATGGCTAGTTAAAAAGTCGAAATTTGTCTGAAGAAAAAAAACCCAACCCGAGCACAAATATTCCGTTACTCTCGTATCGAAAGTCGGAACAATAAGGATGAGTCAAAGTCGTAAAGATCTAAATATCAGAAAGAGAAAAAACATCTGAGAAAAACTGTTTCACGGTCGGAACGAGTTGTAGAAAAGGAATAGTTTTTTTAGACGCCCTAGAATCGAATCGAATCGAATCGAATTAAGTAAAAATGTTACCGCATAACAGAGATTTAAGAACCATTTTGAGCA